GGGGGGGGGGGGGGGAATATGCTGAATTGGAAGCGTTCAAACTATGTTGGTAACTGAAAAAAATTAACAGAGTAAAATTAAATATATTTATTCCAAAGGTTTGTCTATGCTTATACGTAATCTACCACAAGGTTTGTCTATGCTTATACGTAATTTAATTGACCTGTAAATTTTAACTTCTTTTAAGCTAAAGTTGCCACCAGCCCTAAAGACTGAAAATGGCCCAAAATTTGATCCTATTCAAAAGTCGGTAGCTTACAAACAGGGGTGAAATGTTAACTTGAAAGTAGAAACTCGCATACTATGATATCAACTACAGAAAGAATTTAAGAGCTGCATTTTGCGAAGACCAAATCAAGTGATCAACCACAAATCTAAACGTTTTTGTAATTTTGTTGTGTGACACATACTAGAGTTAGCATTCAGAGTCACTTCGAGTTAGCAGCCAAAGAATCTTTACTCCTATCACCAGTGATGCCTAAGCAAATTGGCTTATTTAGTTAGGAATCTGCACATTTACGGCTACAATACATTTCCCTGACCAGTAAAATTTATCTTTAAATACCTAGCTGACGGCAGAGAGAGTAGATCAAAGCCTCCATTAACGCTAGCGCAGAGAGGAAAACATACATAACTATAAACTATTAGACTGTAAGAATTAAACATGTAGATAGTTTGGACAACACTGCTAATAGCTACTTCAAAGGTTGCTTGCCTTGTCAATGTCAAATAAAAACATGTGTAATTTATCATATTACAGTTTGTTCACTTCAACAAAAACTAAAGCATCTGCTTCACTTCAACATCACATTTGAAGCACATCAACAAAATTAACAAAGTTTCAAGACTTAATTTGACATGTCCTAGAAGTAGGATCAAGAACTTTCTGTCTTTGCTCAATGGAGTTCCCTTCAAAGAATAGAACACCATAAATGATAGAACACAGATGGAAAAGTTTACATGATATTCATGCCAAGAGATGCCGAGAGTTGTTCGACAGAGCATAGCCTATGAGTTGATTAAATCAGCATCACGCCCTGCCTCAGCATCTTTGGCATCAGCGCTCTCGCCATTGTTGACAGCACTTAAACCAACCTCAACAACAGTTTCAACTTCTGAACCATCACCAGCACCGGCAGAATTAACAATATCGGTTCTCTCATCATTGCTCACAGCACCTAAACCAGCCTCAACAACAGTTTCAACAGCTTTTGAATCATCAACAGCACCAGCAGAATTAACATTCTCGGTGCTCTCACCATTCTTGACAGCACCTACACCAGCCTCAACAACAGCTTCAACGGCTTTTGAACCATCACCAGCACCAGCAGAATTACCATTATCCACAGCACGCAAATCAGGGTAATTACGATAATTAAGGGAATGCAGCCATAGAGCCATTGTTCCATCCTTGTGCTCCGTCGATGCAATATGACTATAGATATACTTCATTTTAAATTCTTCCGCTGCCTCTGAATAAGCTTTCAGAGACACTTCTTCATGAGTGTCCTTCCACTTACTGTTATATGAGGTGAAAAAGCATTCATCCAAATACAATCCAACCTCAGGCGCCATGGGAACGTTAATGTTGACATCCCTGATTTGATCAAAATGTATCACATTAAAACATGCTTACCCTACTTACGCTTAAAACAGAATAACTAACAAAGAGTAACATGTACCTTCGGAAGGCAGTTTGAATTAAGGATTCAGGAGCACAATTTCTCATGATCGCTACAGCAAGACCAATCATTTTACGGATCTGATGAAGCATAAAGCTCTGACCTACAACCTCACACTTCACAAATTCAATGCTTTCGACATTAACTATAGTGTTTGCAGTAAACGAAATGATATATCGCTTGGCAGCAGGATCATCAGCTTTTGTTCTTGTTGTGAAATTGTGAAAATTGTGAGTTCCCTCGTAGTACTTCAAAATTCTATTAAATCTTTCTTTTTCTTTCTCTCCATAGCAAAACACAGACTCTTCTACTTGTTCTTCTACTGTTTTAGCATTTTCATCGCCTTTCTCAACTTCCTCCTTCGTTTCTTCAACCTTCTCACTTACAGAAGCTCCATTTTCAATTACCATATTTGACTCAGTGATCACATCATTTGCATTAACATTAACATTACTCTCTGTATTTTGCAAAGTTAGTTGTGCATCTCCAGTGTTCGGCATATTGCATGGTTCAGCAACAACAATTACCGACTTAGTTATCGGATCGAAAACGCGTTTACCCATTACTCCAAATACTTTACGACCCCTTTCCGAACACTCCAAACACTTAACAAGCTCTTTCCCAGATCCTACACTAGCTAATACAGTCTCTCTATCACGATGTGAGGATGGGTCAAGAGCAAAAACAGGAACAAAATACACATACCTACGCCGGTCACAGAACTTCTTAGCATTAAACGCATTTGTTACCCGTTTAAACCCAAAGATCCGGATTTGAGGAGAGAGGATCGAGTTAAGCCGATCAATAAAACCAGGCGGGTCGACGTAGAACCGACCCGAAACGACCTGACCCACGGCGCTAACTCCCTTATCAGTACGAGCAGAACGAGCCCAATCATACCTTCTGGGTTGACACTTGTCATGGTCAGGCACACCACCTGCTTGATAAAGTGCTTCTTCTAAATCCCCTTCGATTGTTTTAGCTCCAGGATTCTTCTGCATACCCTGATAACCAACGCCGCAATAAGCGAAGAATAATGCGATTTTTCGACGCTTGTATCTCGGTTTCCTCTCAGGTGCTGGACCATCTCCGGCGACGGCGGCGGTTGCGGCTTCTTCATCGTCGGAGGTGGTGGTGGACATTTTTTGCTTTTTGGGTTGTGGTTCGTCGATAGTTGATAAAGGGGCGATTTTGTTCTCCATGTTTGATGTCAATTTTGGGGGGAATTATGAATTCTGGGAATGATAGAGGTGGCCATTACAGAGCGGTTTGTTAATCGAAAATGGGAACTCGTATCAAACCTTGATAAAACCCTAGGATCAACTGCCCCGGCGCCACGCTGGCAAGAGATAGGGAAATGCTATGCTGCTCCTACTTGTACCATGTGAATGAGCCATAGTACCTCGGAGGTTTTGGTTACCAAAAAATAAAAAGGTGCGAATAATGTGATACTCCATTTAATTAGTTAGTTTGTCACTTTTTAGTAGTCAAAGAAGTCGCAGTTTGATAAAGTAGTATTATGAGTTTGAATTTCAGGAGTACAATGGTGGGATATGGGATTACTTTTATATGGGATAGTTAATCTCACTTTGCTAATATCCCAAAATCAAATTGTTTAATCCAAAAATAAATTTTTCGGTCAAAGTCAATATCAAGAAGAAATCGGGTTACTGATAATCAAAACTATTTCACTTTCTTGGTAATCTGAAGAATAAGACGAATAATGGAAATAATTGACAGGGAAAGAAAACTCAAAACTCAAAATTATTTAACCCAAAAAATAATTTTCAAGGTCAAAATAATTAATTTTATATGATGGGCCACAAACAACCGATTCGATCCAAAAGATATTAATTTTCGTTAATACAACATGATAGAGAAGTGAGAAATAAATTGAATGACAGATAATATATTAAAAATAAAGCAGAGAAGAAATAATTCTTATTGAATGATCCTTGATAGGATGATGAGTCGAACAGAGCTTGAAGGGCTGAACTATGGCTAAATTGGGAGCTAGATGCTACGAATTACAATGTATAAAATTATAGAGAAAAACAATTAGGTTACCACAAATGGTGATAAAATGTGTCTATTTACGGGGCTAAATCTAAGTAACCATTCTTCTTGAATTATGGGTCCATTAAGAGCATTTACTTAATCCATCTGTTACTCTTGGAAGACTTGTAACAACTGAGTAAATGTTAAAATTCCGTAACTGATGAGTCAATTATGTAACTGATGAGTCAGTCTCGTGCCTGTTAAGTCAATCTCGTGCCTGTTAAGTCAATTCCATACCCGTTGAGTCAATCCCGCATCTGTTGAGTCAATCTCGTAATTGATTGCCTTGTTCTGACTGTTACAACCATTTATTGCATTTATTGTATGTTACATCATTGATTTGTAACTAATGGCATAATGATGGTAAATCCCATGTAATTCGGGATTAATTGATTATTTCCTCGTTTGTAATTATGAGTTATTCTCTCGCAACTGATCCATAGCTATTCTATGATGGTCATTTGCGAGACTAACAAGCACGGTACGAGTATGCTTAGTCTCGAGAGTGTTTCACATGTCATCTTTATATGTCATTCTTCACTTTTTTCTTAACTTGCTGACATGTGTCGCCATTTAATAGACCCACGTGACGAGTCTATTTTTCACTAATACACAAATATGAGATAAAATTAATCCAAAACTTTATCCCAGAATTGTTATTCTTATCTCATGTACCAAACGACCCATTAGTGATCTCCTTAGCATTTTATTCGATTAGTTTTCTCTCTCCCTCTAAATATTAGCTTGTTTGGCTAAGGTTTTTTTTGGCCAAAAGTATTTTTTTTTAAAGTCAGCGTGTTTGACTAAGTATTTAGAGGGTAACAAATTATTTTTGAGTAAAAATAGAATTATTTTTAAGAAGTAGAAAAAAATAAATAGTTTCTAACCAAAAAAATACTTTTTTAAAAAGCACTTTTACAAAAAAATAACGATAGATTACAAAGTTCTATCACAATTTTTAAGGTCTGTATGGGAATTTAATTTTTGACGAGTATAAAGGTTTTCATCATTATCACCTCAATTTGTTTAATTAATACTGAAGTGAAATTATCAATGTAGATAATTGGTTGTTTAATTGATCATTGATTATCATTTCAAATTGTCAGTATTTCCAATGTTCACACTTCACGTTAGCACTTCCGTCTTACTCCGTCGCTTCGTCTGCAATTCGTATGAAATGTCACTACGTCAATGGACGGACACCACCATTACCGCCACCTCACCATTCTCGTCACATCCTCCATCTGCAGCCGTCAATTCCATGTTTCCAATCAAGGATTGCCACGTGTTGCTCGCTGTTTACTCCTACGACAGAACGATTTCGAAGCGAATCGAATCCGAAAAAGTGGTCTGCCTTTCATAAAATCCTCCGGTTCGAACTCCATTTCGCAAAAAGGATTTGTTCTTTTTTTTATTTTTATATTCCTGGTTTATGTGGTCATCGAATTTTACATATTTTTTGCTGGCGCCCTTTCTTACTTTCTTCAATTGCCTTTTTTCCATTGTCTCAATTTCACGGTTGAGAATTTAGAAGCCCATATCAGAGGAATCAATCTAATTTGACTACTCCCAGCTTTTGCCCATTTCGTCTCTGTATAAATACCAGAGTAAGTTGAAGAGGTTATTATAAGCTGAGATCGACTTTTTCGTAGCGATCAAACGCGGTATGTTTCTCTGTCTTTACTACTAAGTTTCTTCGGCTGGTTATTTTCTTGCTCATTATGCTTAAATATGAGATTATATTAGGCATGCAAGTTTTTTTTTTTTCTTTTTATTTTATAAGTACATGATCATGTGCATGTCATTCTTTCCATTCTTTGAGTTTTTAGTGGCAGCTGTATTTGATGGATCCTTCTACTATAGGAAGGTTCGCCGGAAAAATATAGGCAAAAAAAAAATATATGTATATGTATATTATGTATTGACTACTGAATTTCCTGGTAGGTTTACTTTTATATATTTTGACACCAGTTAACGAAAATTCTGGCTCCGTCACATCTTCTAGTATCCGTATTAAATGAGTGATATGAAGAATTGGTGAAAAACTGCAGCACCGAATAGGTTATTTACACACCGTAATGGATAGATACATGTGAACTAGTATATGTAACATAAAATGGTAGTCATATTGTTTTTTTGATCATTGTGAATCGTTATATTCATTTTAATTCTATTTTGAATCTTTGTTTATTTTTCTGATAATCAGCTATAGTTTCTCTTGAACTCTGCTTTGTGTGATATAATTATCCGCTACATTTCTGCTAGTATGTAAATGATATCAGGTCGACACAGGACGTGATCACTTATGATCAGCTAATGTTTGCTTTGGGTTGAAAAAAGTGGATAATTACTGCATCTAGATTCTTTAATGAGCTGCACATATGACTCAATTATGCAGATATAGTGGCATACCTGAATGGCTTCAGGTTGTTGTCGACTCAAATCTCCTTTTTGTTTACCTTTATTTTTTTTTAGCAGGACCTCTTGGGGCTTACTTTTTGATCTCAGGTTCGATTTATTATGGGATTTGATGAAAGTCAGCAGACGGATCCATGTACGACTCTCTTTCCTTTATATATACATCAAACTAAAAAGAAAGACTGAGATTTGAATTGAAGAACTGCTGATATTTTAACTGAATCATTTCTTATTTTCATTTTACTTTTAGCAATTATGAGAGTAAATAAGTGGAATTTGCACGCCTTATTTTATGTCAAATTAGTTTTGTTGATAGTTTAGTTCTTATCAGGAGTTCTAGCAATCACAGTATTTTATAAGACTTAGCTTTTTGAAGGGAGATTATAGTGATGAATGCTAACTGATTTATTGTTTTCATGTGCTTGTAGTGGTTGTGATACGCAATGGGAAGGAAATCATATTGCAGGTGATATTATTTTTCCTTTATCAGTTGGCTAGGAAGAAATTTTAAAGAGTTCGTAGTTCATACATAACAATTTGTTGAAATCGGAATGCTGATGCATTTCTTCCTAGAAAAGATCATATCAAACCTAAAGAAATGGGGAATAAAATAGACAAGTTAACATTTTTCTGTGTCAACAATTCTGTTCATAAGTAGAAACTGCCAATCATTGCCTCTGCAGGCCTTCAACTGGGAATCTCATAAACATGACTGGTGGAGAAATTTAGATAGAAAAGTTCCTGATATTGCAAATTCTGGCTTCACAACAGCATGGATGCCTCCAGCAAGTCAGTCATTGTCTCCTGAAGGTTTGGAAGTGATATAATTCGAGTCATGTCTCTCCTCTCTTTCAGCTCCTCTTTGATAGTCATTAATTCTCTCTTTGTTTTCTTTCATGATAGGTTACCTTCCACAGAACCTTTATTCTCTCAATTCTTCATATGGTTCTGAGCATGTCTTAAAAGCTTTAATTAACAAGATGAAGCAGTACAAAGTTAGAGCAATGGCGGACATAGTCATTAACCATCGTGTTGGGACTACCCAAGGGCACGGCGGAATGTACAACCGCTATGATGGAATTCCTTTGCCTTGGAATGAACATGCTGTTACATCTTGCACTGGTGGCCGGGTAAGGATACTGTAACCAAAATCATGTTTCTAGGATAAGCAGCTTTAGACATTTATTTATCTTTTCATCTGCCTCAACTTGATCATAAAATTAATTAATTAATTTAGTTTTCTCTAATATAGGATGTATAGGTTTTTCATGAACTCTTTGATTTTAGCTAGAGTGGCATGGACAGACCCCTTCCCCAGAAAGGATCCTGAAGCTGTGACATCTACATTAGCAAAAGCATGAACTGTATATATAAACATATTAAGCTTGATTCATGTTCATTTATGCATTAGCCTTTACTAAAATCAGCATTTCATCAGTAATCTATAAATTATAGGAACCGAACTTGCTAAATTAGCTGAACCTTTGAGTAACTTTGCTATATAATCATTTCTCAATGACGAAATAAAGATAGTTTGAGCTCCTCAACTAAAACTTAAGACTCCTCTTTAATTCCGTTATATATAATGTTATTGACTCTTCATATCTCTAACCGTTTTAGAGTCAGTGTTATTGCTCAGATGACATGCTTGCCTTCCAACTAGTCATTTAAGGTGAAACTTTATTTATAAGGCTCTCTGTGGCCAGAGGTTTCTCAACCATGAGGGTGTACTCATAACTTTTAAGGATGTATTCCAGGGTAACAAAAGCACTGGAGACAACTTTAATGGAGTTCCAAATATAGATCATACACAATCCTTTGTCCGAAGAGATCTCACTGACTGGATGCGGTGGCTAAGATCCTCTGTTGGCTTCCAAGATTTTCGTTTCGATTTTGCTAAAGGGTAAATTTGCACTTTCTTTCTGAAGTTCTCCATGTAACCTCCCCCCCAATGGCTGGATTTTCATTCTATTTTTTTTCGATTACTGTCTATCCATTTGTAACAACAGCTGAATTTTCCTTCTCTCAACTTTAGTTATTCTCCGAAGTATGTGAAGGAATATATCGAGGGAGCTAAGCCAATATTTTCGGTTGGGGAATATTGGGACACTTGCAACTACAAGGGCAGCTATTTGGATTGCAATCAAGGTATTATAGTTCTCTAGTAAATTTGTACAACCGACTTTCCCCTGCAACTTATAAAGATGTCTCTCAATTTAGCTGGTACCTGTAGTCGTTCATGTTATTATTGAGCCCTCGTTTGCTCTCTGGCGAGGAAGATTGGCGTTAAACTCAGTTTACATAGACCCAAAGTACATAGGAGTAAATCTTTGATTAGTTCAACTCACAGTGATGAAATATATTCACCTTTCTAACATTTGGCTACACTGATGTTGAATTTCTTTAGGCAAGGAAAGACAAACAAGCTTTTGACCATGGCAGCAAGAGAACTTAACTATGTGAAAATGCTGGGTTCATGCAGTGTCATAATTAAAGGTCTCTAAAATTCTTAAAACCTGTGAAGCTCCAACACAAGAAAAAAAAAGAGAGAAAAAGAGAAGTAAAAAGGACGATAAAGAAAAGGACTATAAAACATTATAGACAAGGCTGATGAAGTGCCTCAACAAAGTCAACTTTGCTAACAGGAAGCTAATATCGTGATACATTTTCACAATCTTCTTAAATCATCACTGTTGAGTTTAAGTGGTATCGTGATCCAAGTTTCACAATCTTCTTGAATCATCATTGTTGAACTTATATGGTAATGGAGGCTGCACTTGTTTTGCCATAGTGCATAAGGGATGGCTAATTGGAAAATTGGGCTTACTTTTACCTTTACTGCTATGTCTTTTCTTGAATTTTGGTTGCCAAGTGCCATTTATCTAGTAGCATGAAGCATGTGTGGAGGCAGAGCATATCTGTACCTTGCTTCTCCTGTTCTAGGCTGTCTTTGTTTGTCTATGTATTAAGGTAGCTTTCTTTGTTATGTGCAGATAGTCACAGGCAAAGAATCATCAATTGGATTGATCAAACGGGGCAACTTTCATCTGCATTTGATTTTACAACCAAAGCAATCCTTCAGGTATCCATTAAAATCATGGTATCTCTTAAGATCCTAAAACAAACAGTGGCTCCTCTTCTCCCCATATTTAGTATCTAAGACTACTTGTATTAGTAAATCCAAAAATTATTAATGACATGTTTATTTCTTGTTAAAGGAACTTATTCAAAGATTTGTCTGTGATTCAATGAGTATATACCATAAATTAGTGTTAACCATTATATTATATATATACATTTGCAGGAAGCAGTCAAAGGAGAATTCTGGCGTTTGCGTGACTCTAATGGGAAGCCACCAGGAGTTCTGGGATGGTGGCCTTCAAGGGCTGTGACTTTTATTGATAATCACGACACTGGATCCACTCAGGTTCTTGATGTTTCCTGATCTACATCTAGCTGATTATTAATCTTTGCTTTGGTTTTGGATGCTGATTTCCTATTCTACACGACCATTCTACTGTATAATTTCGTTATTGCAGTAACATAGGTTAATGATTTTACCATTTATGCTTCTCTCTGCTGGTAGGAATACCATCAGTGGTGGACAGCGGGTTCAACTGAACCCGCTTCACAAAAAAATAATACTGTGTATATGTATAAATTAGGATTAAAGCTGTATAAATTTTGCATAAATATTTTATTTGAACCCACTTAATAACTACTATTTTACTACTAAATTTATATACTTCTAAGATTGAACCCGCTTGCACAAAATCCTGAGTCCGCCACTGAATACCATATGCTAGATTATGAAATGATTCACTCTTTTGATCTGTTTTAAAGTTATCATCTTGGATCATTTACTCTCTTTGATGTTTTTCTAATCATGGAAACTGAACTTATGTTCCCTCATTACTTAACTAAATGATCTCAACTTGCAGGCACACTGGCCTTTCCCTTCAAATCATATTATGGAGGTATTTCGACATCTAATTCATTACCTTTAAATGCTTGACTTGTGAGCTTTATTTCTTTTTCATTGGTTGTATTTCCTTCACTTGTTACTTTCTAGGCTGTAAGCTACTATATTTTTTGGCAACAATTCCGTCTTCAGCAGTACTATACAAGTGTTTAGATCTTATTTTTCCTGATCATCTTTTGTGGCATTTGGTCTGATCACTGCGCCTCGCTCCAGGGCTATGCGTACATTCTAACACATCCAGGGATGCCATCAGTATTCTATGACCATTTCTACGATTGGGGTAATTCCACGCATGACCAAATTGTTAAGCTGGTATGTCAAATCTAATTAACTATATAGACACAAAGTGAGTGAACAGTCAAAGCTGGACAATTCTAATGCTTCAAATTTACACATTAGATTGATATCCGGAGGCATCAAGGCATACACAGCCGTTCATCTATACAGATTCTTGAGGCACAACCAAACTTATATGCTGCAACCATTGGAGAAAAGGTTAGCATGAAGATCGGGGACGGATCATGGTGTCCTACGGGCAAGGAGTGGAAGCTTGCAACCAGTGGCTATCGCTATGCAGTCTGGCAGAAGTAATAGGTAGAGCAAAGTTATTCCCTTTCGCAAAAATATTAGTCTAAATATATGTGTTTCAAGCCCGTGCACCTACTGCTAATACTAGATCCGCCTCTGGGGGCTAGGATGGAGAGATGAGTGTTTTTCCCATTCATTAGAAATTTTAGCATGGGATGTAGCATTACTAATAAGAGTTCTTGAATGCAATGGAATAAGGGAGTTTATTAATTCAATTATAGTTTTGTACGAGGGAATAGTGTCATTTCATGTAACGATATTAAAGGTTTTTTTTGGCTCTCTGCTTCTATGTTAGGATAATAAGAAATTATAGTTGTGTTTTTTCTAGTATCACAAGATAAAATACACGGGCTGCTTGGACCCTGCATGGACACGAGATACTTTATGCACCGGGTTGCTCTTTTAAAAGTCAATCTTGGCGTGACGATAAAAGTTGTCGCCATGTGACCAGAAGGTCATGGTTCAAGTCACGGAACAACCTCTTGCAGAAATACAAACTAAGGCTGCATACGTAAGATTCCGGTCCTTCTCCACACCCGCACATTAGCAAGACATTAGTGCATCGGACTGTCTTTTCTGATAAAAGAACACTTTTGATAATCAAAAGTTACATGGTTTGGATCTTTGAAAGCAAAAAAATGTGACATCCTACAAGCTCTGTACTCATTACTTTGTTGCAGATGAGATTCATAAGAAGTGAATTTCTCTGCTTTTGGGTTAGATATGAATCTGCTGTCTTCTATAATTGAAAGTTATAAGGCTTTAAATAATAGAAGTTTTCCACATTGTACTATCCTTTTAGAAAATCTTTTTAGCTCCAATAAAAATATTTAGAAGTTTTAATGACAGTGATTAACTGAAATAAGGTAAAATTATCAAAAAAGTGGACGAGAGGGGATCACATGGCGTTGTGTCAATCAAAAAAGATAGAGATTCCTCACATCAATATCATAGCAATCGTCATACTTCTCATGATTTATACCTTGAAACTCAAAGACCCCATCAACATCTCCATTTGCAATACTCCCCCTATTCACTTTTCATTACTTTTAATTTTTAATATAACAGTGTTGTTTGAGTTAACTCGTCATTTTATTATTCTATTGAACATCTGTTACTACTCTTTATTGTCACAAATACGGGTGTACATGGACCGAGTTGATTCGGGTTTTATCAAAACCAAACCAAATCAATTATATTGGTTTGGATTTGTTCGGTTTTGTCGAATTTTTTGAGTTTTTCGGATTTTTTTATTACATGAATATTATTCTAATCTTGCTTTATTAAACTTATAGATAAAGTTTTGATAAGTGAATATATGTTTACTAAAAAAAAAAAAATTAACAAACACATGATCTATTAAAGTATTCTTATGGGAGAATTTATTTTAGTAACACATAATAGTTTGTTTTCTTAGTCGTCTAACAATAATTTTTGGTTGATGTACGCTTTCAAGATTAACCGAATTTAATAATTAAACATAATTAAATTAATATGATACCTAAATAATGATATGTTCTATGTAATTTTAGATTATCCAAATACCACTTTAAATTCGAAAAAGATATAAGAAATTTTGACATATGAATATGAAAGAACAAAGAGATGATTGACACATTTCAATAATATTTAATAAGAAAGTGATACAATTTATTATTTAAAGTAAATAAAAATAAATAAACTTTATAGTTATATTAAATACTACATTCTATTAAGGATCTCAAATATTTCTAGACATCATTTAAACAAAATTCTATATAAAGTCTTAGAAGTATATATAAAAAATTATATATTTATATGTCGGTTTGGTTCAAATTTTTTTAATCAATACCAAACCAAATCAAACCAAACCTAATCGAATTTTTTAATCGATTTGGTTTGACTTTTCGTTCCACGTCACAAACATCAAATAATCTATCAAAACAAAAGTACTATTACCAAAACATAGAAATCACTTAGCATTCTTTTTTTCTTCTCATCCCACCACACTTCTCTCTCTTTTTTTCTTCATTCCTCCCCC